GAGATCTTGAACGAGATCGGCTGCAAAAAAGTGTGATTTGCCAGATTGTTGATGCATCAGTAATAATTATTAGAGTCAACTCGAGTATTTTCCCGATGGAGTGATCGCGATGGAGTGGTTTGTTTAGTGGACGGGATTTTTCAAAGCTGATTTTACAAGTACTATGTGCAAGGAACTTGTAGCCAAGACGGAACCCAATATAGATAAGATTCAAACGTAAATCTTCCCCATACAAAATTTTAGAAATCCAAGAACTGTCTTTCTACAGTTTCTTTAGTATCGATTCTCCCTCTCTCCCAACCTACCAGCGGTTTTTTACATTCAATAGCATAAATTATTTTTCAGTGAAAAAAGCCACTCATACACCGCAGTAGAGAGCAAGCGTAAGGAACTGGTGGAGTGCATGCAACAGGTATTTCTGAGCCTTTTCATAATTTTGGGCTGAGGAGGTGTAGCCGCAAGTGGAGCACCTAACGCATGCATGGTCATGAGTTCGAATCCCGGATCGATATCCGCCTAGGCTAATCAAGCTTTTCACCCCTTCAGGTCAGCAAAGAGGTACCATACTCGTCTAGAAGAATAAAAGATCTTCATTTAAAGGTTCGCTAACGAGTGTCAAAGCNTCATATTCATTCAATGAAGAGCGACTTCCACTCCAACCTTTTTATATATCCCAAGCTTTCCTTCAGTAGACTAGTGTAGATTCAAATGGGAGGAACAGAGTTTCTGTATGCAGCCCTTCCGCATACCAGATAATAGCTCTCCATTATTTGGGCAATTTATACCGGCAACTAGCAGTTCAAATTACCTGCGATATGTGATCGTCCGATGTAGTCAACAGAAGGAAATCGTTGAATAGAATCGCTACTAAAAGACGTCCACTACGTTGTTTGTATAGCACACCAGAGTGAAGAAATGAGCGTGGACCCTAGAAAGGAATGAGTTGCAGAAAAGAACGGCGACTCGAGGTCATTCTCTTTGATTTACTGAGGTAATGAGATTTCTCAACTCCAGACTATCACAATCAAAGGTCTATCAAGGTGCAAGGTTCTACAAGGTCTTCAAGAGAATTCGTACCAAAAGGCGTGTATCAGAGGTGAAGTCGAGTCCCAATGATGGAGGACATTTCACATGGGATTGTGCCCAACGTAGAAGGAATACATTCTCTTCTTCGGTCACAGCATGATTCACTTCAGAGACACAAGCACGAAGAAGTTGAAGANAATAGAATCGCTACTAAAAGACGTCCACTACGTTGCTTGTATAGCACACCAGAGTGAAGAAATGATCGTGGACCCTGGAAAGTAGTGAATTTTAGAGAATAACGAGTATGTGAGGTAATTCTTTCTGATAAACTGAGTTAATGGGAATTCCATCTGTTTAGTCTATCACAATCGCACGGTCTTTGCAAGTTTCTACAAGGACCCGTGAGGAATCGTACCAAAAGGCGTGTATCAGAGGTGAAGTCGAGTCCCAATGATGGAGGACATTTCACATGGGATTGTGCCCAACGTAGAAGGAATACATTCTCTTCTTCGGTCACAGCATGATTCACTTCAGAGACACAAGCACGAAGAAGTTGAAGAGCGGTGTCCAAGTCCTGCAAGAATCGTAGACATCCTCATGAGCACTGATGCCCTCCGTAGGAATCCCAAACCTGATATAAGTCACCCCGCGGATCGCTTTCCTTGAGGATTTTCTCGATAAGCAGTGGATACCTGAAAAACAAATAATCAAAAAATCAAAATCTGGAAATCGAAGTAGACATCAGTATCACATTTTGGACAGGGCTGAAATTTACTCCTAGACGATTGGGCCGTAAAAATTTTCTGCTCCTTTCAACGAACTCAAGGGTCACCTGGTAGTCGCAAGAGCCCGTTTCCGCACTCTTCCCCTTTGCCTAGTTCGAACAGTCTCTCAGACTTAAGCGAGTTGACTGCGGCTGTTTCGGACCTTTTGTCATCATTTTTCTGAAGCATAGAAGCTGACCTCGTGATACGTCCAAGTGGCATCAGAAGAAACGTGGTCAGACTCATGCCCCGAGCGGCAATGCTCGCCGTACATTTGGCATAGAGTTTCTTGGCGTCT